CACAAACATCTTACCACAAATTACCTGAAAAATAACTCTCGTCAGTTTATGTACCGGAAACCGCACGACGACAGCAAAATATGTGTAAACAAATGTAAGAAATACGTTGTTACCAGAATATAAAAAAAAATCCATATATTAATTGCAAGTAGCAACACGACATTTACGAGGGATCATTGTGAATAGTTGAATTGCAAATTTGATCTTTTGTCTTGTGTTATCGTTAGTGTTACGTCGGGGAATGATAAACCACATTACCCAATGAGAATTATTAACTACCTATGTTTGTTATATTTAGATAAAATAATGTATTCTACAGATTCCCGTAGAATAAGGTTGTATTTAAAAGTTTTGCCTCCGTAGCAGCTGGATTACTGTGAATCTCATGACCATCCTGTATACAGTAGCAGCTTCTGTATTGTGTATATCGTATTTTCGTGTCATGGACGATAACTGTTCCTTTATTCTGCACCCTATATCCATACTGTGATAGATAACTCTCTTTATTCTGCACCCTATATCCATACTGTGATAGGTAACTCTCTTTATTCTGCACCCTATATCCATACTGTGATATGTAACTCTCTTTATTCTGCATCCTATATTCATACTGTGATAGGTAACTCTCTTTATTCTGCACCCTATATCCATACTGTGATATGTAACTCTCTTTATTCTGCATCCTATATTCATACTGTGATAGGTAACTCTCTTTATTCTGCATCCTATATTCATACTGTGATAGGTAACTCTCTTTATTCTGCATCCTATATCCATATATATATATATATATATATATTATATATATATTATATATATATATATTATATATATATATATATATTGAACAGAAAGAATTCTGAAAGGCGGGGTAGAGGTTGTTCTAGGAAAGGTTGGAGGGAGGGGTTTAAAGAAGTTTTGTATGCGAGGGGCTTGGACATCCAACAGGCGTGTGTGAGCAAGAGTGTTAGGAGTGACGGCAAGTGGTTTTTATGACTTGACGTGCTGTCTGAATGTGAGCAAGGTAAAGTTTATGAAGAGGTTCAGGAAAACCGGTTAGCCGGAGTTGAGATCTGGAGCTGGGAAGTGCAGTGCCTGCACTCTGAAGGAGGTCTGGGGATATTTGCACTTGTGAACTGTGTGTGTGTGTGTGTGTACATATTTTATATTATTATTTTATTATCACACTGGCCGATTCCCACCAAGGCAGGGTGGCCCGAAAAAGAAAAACTTTCACCATCATTCACTCCATCACTGTCTTGCCAGAAGGGTGCTTTACACTACAGTTTTTAAATTGCAACATTAACACCCCTCCTTCAGAGTGCAGGCACTGTACTTCCTATCTCCAGGACTCAAGTCCGGCCTGCCGGTTTCCCTGAACCCCTTCATAAATGTTACTTTGCTCACACTCCAACAGCACGTCAAGTATTAAAAACCATTTGTCTCCATTCACTCCTATCAAACACGCTCACGCATGCCTGCTGGAAGTCCAAGCCCCTCGCACACAAAACCTCCTTTACCCCCTCCCTCCAACCTTTCCTAGGCCGACCCCTACCCCGCCTTCCTTCCGCTACAGACTGATACACTCTTGAAGTCACTCTGTTTCGCTCCATTCTCTCTACATGTCCGAACCACCTCAACAACCCTTCCTCAGCCCTCTGGACAACAGTCTTGGCAATCCCGCACCTCCTCCTAACTTCCAAACTACAAATTCTCTGCATTATATTCACACCACACATTGCCCTCAGACATGACATCTCCACTGCCTCCAGCCTTCTCCTTGCTGCAACATTCATCACCCATGCTTCACACCCATATAAGAGCGTTGGTAAAACTATACTCTCATACATTCCCCTCTTTGCCTCCAAGGACAAAGTTCTTTGCCTCCACAGACTCCTAAGTGCACCACTCACCCTTTTCCCCTCATCAATTCTATGATTCACCTCATCTTTCATAGACCCATCCGCTGACACGTCCACTCCCAAATATCTGAATACATTCACCTCCTCCATACTCTCTCCCTCAAATCTGATATCCAATCATTCATCACCTAATCTTTTTGTTATCCTCATTACCTTACTCTTTCCTGTATTCACTTTTAATTTTCTTCTTTTGCACACCCTACCAAATTCATCCACCAATCTCTGCAACTTCTCTTCAGAATCTCCCAAGAGCATAGTGTCATCAGCAAAGAGCAACTGTGACAACTCCCACTTTATGTGTGATTCTTTATCTTTTAACTTCACACCTCTTGCCAAGACCCTCGCATTTACTTCTCTTACAACCCCATCTATAAATATATTAAACAACCACGGTGACATTACATCCTTGTCTAAGGCCTACTTTTATTGGGAAATAATTTCCCTCTTTCCTACATACTCTAACTTGAGCCTCACTATCCTCGTAAAAACTCTTCACTGCTTTCAGTAACCTACCTACTACACCATACACCTGCAACATCCGCCACATTGCCCCCCTATCCCCCCTGTCACACGCCTTTTCCAATTCCATAAATGCCACAAAGACCTCTTTAGCCTTATGTAAATACTGTTCACTTATATGTTTCACTGTAAACACCTGGTCCACACACACCCTACCTTTCCTAAAGCCTCCTTGTTCATCTGCTATCCTATTCTCCGTCTTACTCTTAATTCTTTCAATAATAACTCTACCTTACACTTTACCAGGTATACTCAACAGACTTATCCCCCTATAATTTTTACACTCTCTTTTGTCCTCTTTGCCTTTATACAAAGGAACTATACATGCTCTCTGCCAATCCCTAGGTACCTTACCCTCTTCCATACATTTATTAAATAATTGCACCAACCACTCCAAAACTATATCCCCACCTGCTTTTAACATTTCTATCTTTATCCCATCAATCCCGGCTGCCTTACCCCCTTTCAATTTACCTACTGCCTCACGAACTTCCCCCACACTCAAAACTGGCTCTTCCTCACTCCTACAAGATGTTATTCCTCCTTGCCCTATACACGAAATCACAGCTTCCCTATCTTCATCAACATTTAACAATTCCTCAAAATATTCCCTCCATCTTCCCAATACCTCTAACTCTCCGTTTAATAACTCTCCTCTCCTATTTTTAACTGACAAATCCATTTGTTCTCTAGGCTTCCTTAACTTGTTAATCTCACTCCAAAACTTTTCTTATTTTCAACAAAATTTGTTGATAACATCTCACCCACTCTCTCATTTGCTCTCTTTTTACATTGCTTCACCACTCTCTTAACCTCTCTCTTTTTCTCCATATACTCTTCCCTCCTTCCATCACTTCTACTTTGTAAAAACTTCTCATATGCTAACTTTTTCTCCCTTACTACTCTCTTTACATCATCATTCCACCAATCGCTCCTCTTCCCTCCCGCACCCACTTTCCTGTAACCACAAACTTCTGCTGAACACTCTTAACACTACATTTTAAACCTACCCCATACCTCTTCGACCCCATTGCCTATGCTCTCATTAGCCCATCTATCCTCCAATAGCTGTTTTATTCTTACCCTAACTGCCTCCTCTTTTAGTTTATAAACCTTCACCTCTCTCTTCCCTGATGCTTCTATTCTCCTTGTATCCCATCTACCTTTTACTCTCAGTGTAGCTACAGCTAGAAAGTGATCTGATATATCTGTGGCCCCTCTATAAACATGTACATCCTGAAGTCTACTCAACAGTCTTTTATCTACTAATACATAATCCAACAAACTACTGTCATTTCGCCCTACATCATATCTTGTATACTTATTTATCCTTTTTTCTTAAAATATGTATTACCTATAACTAAACCCCTTTCTATACAAAGTTCAATCAAAGGGCTCCAATTATCATTTACACCTGGCACCCCAAACTTACCTACCACACACTCTCTAAAAGTTTCTCCTACTTTAGCATTCAAGTCCCCTAGCACAATTACTCTCTCACTTGGTTCAAAGGCTCCTATACATTCACTTAACATCTCCCAAAATCTCTCTCTCTCTCTCCTCTACATTCCTCTCTTCTCCAGGTGCATACACGCTTATTATGACCCACTTCTCGCATCCAACCTTTACTTTAATCCACATAATTCTTGAATTTACACATTCATATTCTCTTTTCTCCTTCCATAACTGATCCTTCAATATTACTGCTACCCCTTACTTTGCTCTAACTCTCTCAGATACTCCAGATTTAATCCCATTTATTTCCCCCCACCGAAACTCCCCTACCCCCTTCAGCTTTGTTTCGCTTAGGGCCAGGACATCCAACTTCTTTTCATTTATAACATCAGCAATCATCTGTTTCTTGTCATCCGCACTACATCCACGCACATTCAAGCATCCCAGTTTTATAAAGTTTTTCTTCTTCTCCTTTTTAGTAAATGTCTACAGGAGAAGGGGTTACTAGCCCATTGCTCCCGGCATTTTAGTCGCCTCATACGACACGCATGGCTTACGGAGGAAAGATTATTTTCCACTTCCCCATGGACAATAGAAGAAATAAAGAAGAACAAGAGCTATTTAGAAAAAGGAGAAAAACCTAGATGTATGTATATATATATATATATATGCATGTGCGTGTCTGTGAAGTGTGACCAAAGTGTAAGTAGGAGTACCAAGATATCCCTGTTATCTAGCGTGTTTATGAGACAGAAAAAGACACCAGCAATCCTACCATCATGCAAAACAGTTACAGGTTTCTGTTTCACAGTCATCTGGCAGGACGGTAGTACTTCCCTGGGTGGTTGCTGTCTACCAACCTACTACCTATGTATATATATATATATATATATATATATATATATATATATATATTATATATATATATATATATATATATATATATATATATATATATATATACGAATTTTTATAGAGTAAAACAGTCATTTGGATCAAGCTTCTCCCAGGCTCCTATGCCCTTAGGAGGCCGTGACGTCATGGCTGTGAGGAACATGCACCAGTATATAAACAGTTGTCATCCTTCACAGAGCATCAGTCCGACTCATCCTCCTCAACAAGAATGTCTCTCAAGGTACACTGCTAACCTCTCTTGTAGTACTGTGAAACACATTACATTTTTTTTATTTTTTTTTTTTATTTTTTTTTTTCATTTTGGTTATCTTTGCTTTATTCGGAGAAGTTAAACAATTCTACCTTGAGCTCCATTAAATCTCAGTTACTGCAGCCTCCTCACGCTCACTGGTCCCAGACAACAAATTTTATCCACCGCTAATGTTTCAGTATTATCGGTGGTAAACACGTTCGTAAACAAGTGCAGACATTCTCAGAAAACAACTTGTTAATTAATGGGGTTCTGCAGGTACTTTAGGGAACATTGTATTTTCAGGGAATCGAATCAGTTTTGTGGCGAGGAAGACTGCGTTTACTTGTCAGTCCTATGAGTAACTAGCAACAAGTCTAATGGTGTGAGTTTCATTTTTGACGGGGTGGAGCGGTAAGCTAGCGAAACGTCTGGGTCATATGAGTAAAATTTCCGGTTAACGAAATCGTAATGACACGATTGCAAACAAACCATACCACGGGCAGGTTCTGACCCCGCCCACGGCATGGTTCATAACAAATGACCCAGACCCTTGTCGATCAAGGAAAGGCATAGGTCAAATGACCAAAGGCTCCGGTTAACGGGTCATCATACGACCAACACCAGTGTCAGACAGTACGTACGTTGTGTCCTGGAGAGCGAATACCACAACCAGTCCCTTGTACCTTAAGAAATCGCCCTTGATTGTCAGTCCATCCGCTCCCTCAACTTCCATTTAAAACATTTAATCCGTGTGCACTGGTGGAGGCTCGATACTCCATCCGCTAATTGTGAGACGGACTCGCTACCTAGCAGTAACTCTTAAATCCATTGAGAACATGCTTATTTTTTCAAAGTATTCGCTACAGTGCTAATATTTTATAAATTCTTGCCGAACCTGGATCTGTTGAAGCCTATACTCATTGGCACTGCCACGCAAAGGCCCTCCAACAAAAGGTATGCCCCCAGGATACCTATTGGTGCCATAAAAAAACAATACCAGTAAAAATAACAATAATTATAATGATAAATTAGACACATGTGCAACTCTTGGGTATCTTTATTGAGGAAACGTTTCGCCACACAGTGTTTTCATCAGTCCATACAAAGGAGAATCTTGAACAGGAGGAGAATGAGGTAATCAGTCCCTCAACCTTGAGTCGATGTGGTCAGTCCATCAATCTTGAATAGAATATGGCATATGAGCCATATCCTCCTGTTCTTCAAGATTCTCCTTTGTATGGACTGATGAAGCCACTGTGTGGCGAAACGTTTCCTCAATAAAGATACCCAAGAGTTGCACATGTGTCTAATTTATCAACGTGTCGGTTCTCTGAACCATTCCTCTACAATAATCATAATATTATCATTATTATTAATCCTTATTTTTGTAATGACTATAATAGCCACATTATTGCTTTCATACACAAGCTGTAAATTATGTATATTAGTTACAGTGTTTGACTTCAACCGCAGAAAAGGTTGTGTTAATGTGCAAGTCAACTTTCTTTTTGAATTACAAGGATACTACAAGCCTGTTTATTAGAAACCTGTCAAAATTTACTTATGCAACTTTGAGAAAGGTTCGAATTTCTGCTAATATTTTTGAGTGATTCTGAAGGCTGACAATGATCTACAATAAATGAGGAGCATCACATAAGCGAAGGAATGTGTGTGGCCATTAAGACTGCCTTTGATTTTTTAATATATTTCAATGAGTTGAAGCGTAAAAGACATAGGGTTAACTTAAAATAACAAATTACTATTTTTCTATTTACATGTCTTCTCTCGGTGTAGAATACTATGTTTATATTTTCCAGATGCATAAGCACCAATCTTCTTTTCCACCAAAGAAATAGCAGATAATGTTTATTGTGCAGAGTGTGTATTGATGCTGAAACGTAGTATCTGATGCAGAGACGTAGTATCTGATGCAGAGACGTAGTATCTGATTCAGAGACGTAGTATCTGATGCAGGGATGTTTTATCTGATGCAGAGACGTAGTATCTGATTCAGAGACGTAGTATCTGATGCAGGGATGTTGTATCTGATGCAGAGACGTAGTATCTGATTCAGAGACGTAGTATCTGATGCAGAGATGTGGCATCTGATGCAGAGACGTAGTATCTGATGCAGAGATGTGGTATCTGATGCAGAGATGTGGTATCTGATGCAGAGATGTGGTATCTGATACTCTACCTCTTGGCTTTTAACGTGTTCTAGTTTGTCACTGACCTCACACTGCAAAAAAAAAATATTTGTGTAGTCACGCCCATATAAACCATTTGACTTTACCTTGCCTATATTACAAAGTATCTTGTTCGTGGTCATCACATCGCCTGTAATTTTTGTCTCACGCCATCTCACTCTTGCACCTGTAATTCTTGTACAAATTTGAATGTTTTTAGTTATGATTGGCCACTACGCTGGCAGTCGTGTCGCAGATATTTTTTCTTAACTTGCTTATTTGTGATTATACATGAGTTTTTATTGAGCAATGTAGCCAAACCAAACTTCTTCTAATCTAAGGTAACCTAAACTATTCTTACATAACATAATTTAACTCAAGATGAAGAAAGCATTTGTAAAGGAAGAAGTTCTGAAATTGACATTGCAAGCCTCGTAAAAAATGTGTGTGTGTGTGTGTGTGTGTGTGTGTGTGTGTGTGTGGTGTGTGTGTGTGTGTGTGTGTGTATTCAACTGTCTATGGTTGAGACTCAGGGGTCGAGTGCTCATCTACGTGTTCTCTCCTATTTGTGGTTGCAGGGAACGAGTCTCCGCTCCTGTGTGTTGTGAGAAAGTGAGAGAACTTTTATCTGTTGGTTGGAATCCTAATGTTTGATGAATAGTACAGTAAATATATTTTATTCTGAAAACAATAATTTTTGTACATTGAAAAGATAAACTGTGAACAGGTTGTACTGGTCGCCACACTTGTGGTGGGCTCCATGTCCCTCCCTGATGCTCCCTCACAATTCCGTCCCTCGTCTTCTGGCCCTACCTACGGACCCCCAACACCAGGACCAACATATGGCCCTCCAACACCAGGACCAACATACGGCCCTCCAACACCAGGACCTACATACGGTCCCCCAACACCAGGACCAACATACGGCCCCCCAACACCAGGACCAACATACCGTCCCCCAACACCAGGACCAACATATGGCCCTCCAACACCAGGACCAACATACGGTCCTCCAACACCAGGACCAACATACGGTGTCCCAACTTCTGAGGTGAGTATAGCTCATAGTGGACAATGTTGCCAACACGTACTTGTGATCATTCTATAAGCAAACTAGTGACCAATCCAATAAAGCATTACATGGCATTACACAGGCACCAGTTTGTGGCCGCTCTCAAACATAATGTATGTTATTATTACTCCAGGCTCCTGCTCATTACAACTTCACCTGGCAAGTGAAGGACGACGCCTCTGGCAACGATTACGGGCACCAGGAGACTCGTGATGGTGCCGACACCCAGGGCTCCTACTATGTTCTGCTTTCTGACGGTCGTCTGGAGAGGGTGAAGTACACTGTCAACGGTGACTCGGCTTCGTGGCCCAGGTGGCCTACGAAGGTCACTCCACATCCCAGCCTCAGTCCTACTACACACCAGCTCCTGCCTACGGCTAACGCATCAGTGACCCTAGATGACTTAAACGACTCGTCTTGGATATAGGCTTAATTTTATAAACTCTGACTACGATCACGGTAAAAAAAAATTCTACCCCAAACTATTTCATTAGTGAAAACATCTGCCTTCTTTGTATCTCTAACTTAAAAAAAAAAAATTTCTTCAGTCCTATCGACAGTTATATTTGCTTTTGTCAGACTTCGTCCTTCCAAGCAGCCTGGTCCATACTTCTCCTTCTCCCGATGATTCTTGTGTTCACTATGTCATACTACTCTAGCCTTTTGCAATATATTAATGAAATAGGCCATACCCATTCTGCCATAGTTAAAGAATACGAAAGAAATGTTCCCTCTTCTTATTTTAACACCTCTCTTCTCTGTCATGTTAGAGACAACAACTCTTCAATAAGTTTACCCAATGCCAGAAATATCTATCCATATTGTAGCCCTTACAAATATCGTCTTGTAGAACTAGCCCTTGTGCGTATCATTCCTAATATGAATTTTAGTCTCGATTTTGTACCTGTGATGCTTTGGATTTTCTCCCTTTCACAAATGATCTGCTCCTCAGAACACACATAACTCTAGGAGTTCCTCGTCTCGTCCCACCTACCGGCGTTTCGGTCCGACTTGGACCTACTATTTATGGTATTGTGCCTTTTTATTCTTCGTCGTCTCTGCCCTGGGCTCTTTCCTAACCTCTTACCCCTAAACGTCGTTTGAAATGTGATCTCCGGATTGTAAATTGTACCATTTCATGTCTATGGTTCACCAAAAAGTAACTTTACTGCGCTCATGGTTAACGCTGAGTAATACTGTACATGAATAACATACATGTTGAACGCTATAATGGTATCTTTATTTCGGAAGTAAAGATGGCAAAGGTTTGCACATACTTCTTATTCCTTTAATTTAACAACACTGTAGATATATTTGTGTAAATAAAGCATTATATAAAAATAATTTGATATATTTTATTACATTTCCCAACTTTTAGAACCCATCTAATAGTTTTTCTATGAAATAAAATACTTAGGTTATTAACATAAGATATTTTATTATTATTATTATTATTATTATTATTATTGCACTCATTGGTCATACGACGCCATGATGGAATGGAAGGCAATCAGTTTCGAGTCATGGAAGGGGAAGTCATATCCCAGCTCCTCGGAATAAGAGCTCCTTCTGGCGTCAAGAAACTTCCCTTGAAGGCAAAGTATACGAAAAGAGGGGCAATGAGGAGGCCTACTGGCCTACGCTCAGCATGTCCTTCTCAAATTCAGAATCTTAGGAAAGAAATGTAACAGAAAAAAAGTCACGGGAAAAATTAAAAACAAGTCACAATTTTGGCTAGGAAAAAGAAAATCAGTAAACAAGTCAGTGTGTGGATCAAGCGCTAGGAAAGAAATTTTTTAGGTAGTTTTATTTGACAGTTATTCCATATATAGTATATAGTAGATAAGTGTTTAGAGAAGCGACAAGTTGATGAATGAGACAATTGTATAATATTTGGGTATCTTCATTATGGAAACATTTCGCCAGCCAGTAGCTTCCATAACCATTCTTCTCTGTATTGGTCTGAAGAAGAAACTGGTTGGCAAATCTTTCCCACAATCAAGATACCCAAGTGTTCCACTATTCATACGATATATACATTTTAGCGACATAAGTAGGGGGAAATAAATGACTGTAAGAATAGACAATATTGTCAGTGTGAACGCTGTGGATGATGATAATGTCAAATAAGATAAATGCCACGTATGAAGAACTCATCCAATCTATGTTAATTAGCGAACAGGCTTCAATTATAATATTGTAGAAATCATCCTAACCGGTTTTGGTGACAGCGTGTCGAGAGGTGTTCTTGCAGCGTGTGGGCGTCATGTGTTACACCTGTGTTCGTCCCTCACCTGTGAAATACGAACGATGCAACTATGAGCAGTAATTCTTGAACCAATAACGCTTGTGAAAGATGCAATACTAAGGTCTTTATAATCGGAACTGCAACACTTGGGTTTCTTCCTGGGTAGACGTTGCTTCAACCAGTGAGTTTTTTAGTTCAATACAGAAATGATCTACGAAGACGATGGAAGACAAGGAATATAATATAATCAGCCTCCAGCCCTGCAGAAGACGAGTCATCATTTTAGTATTGATCCTGAAGAGCGAAACGTTGCCACAATAAAATGTCACATTAGTTGCATCAATGTCCATTTACCTAACATGTAGTAAGAACTAAGTACAGCTCTGAGTTTTCTCATTTACAATAAGGACGAGATGTGAGTGAGGCTTCGTAGCCTCGGTGGACACAATAAAATTTTACATGTAAAATAACCTTCCTGGCTGTTATAATCATTTACAACTCTGAATGGAAAATTTTTAACGGAGGTTTAGGCAGGAGAAGGATAATTCAGGGTAAGTAGTCGTGTGATTTATAAGGTTGCCAACTGGGGTTGTGTAGGCGATTGTGTAGTTTATGTCTAAATGTGAGGTTGTCTAGTTTGTTACGGGGCTTAGGTCACAATGTTGAGGTTTGTTAGGAATGTAAAAATGATGAAAGGAAAAGGGTTGTTGTGGAAGTTTTGGAGACGTAGTGTTAATGAGGAGTAATGTGTCTGTGTACTTTTCTAATTGTGGTTGTAGAGGTCGAGTCTCGGCTCCTGGCCCTGCATCTCTGCTGGCCGCTACTGGTTTTACTCTTTCATGGCTGCTTGAGCCCTATCATGCATATTCTTGAAGCTATGTATAGATACTGTCTTTACAACTTCGTATTCTGGGTCGTTCCACTTACTGACCACAATAAGGCAAAAGGAATATTTTCTAACATCTCTGTGATTCATTTGTTCTTTTAACTTTCAGCTGTGATCTCTCGTGCACCTGAGATCCGCTTCTCAGACTTTCCCTGTCCAATCTGTCAATTCCTCTGAGCATTTGTACGTCTTCATCATATCTCTGGTCCTTCTGTCATCTATTATAATCAGATTTAACCCCTTAGTTTCTCCTCATATGTTATAACCTTCAGATCTGGGACTAGTTTCGTTGCAAACCTTCTCACTTTTCTCAGCTTTATCATATGCTTAACCAAATGTGGGTTCTATATTGATTTACTGATACTCCAAGATGACCAGTGTTGATGTTCCTGAGATCAACACTTACATTTGTAAGTCTCACGTTTGCTGCAGCGGTTACTAGGCTGTGTCTCAGGCGATATGCTTGGAACTATGCTCACCCCGTGATCCTTCTCTTTCAGGGAGGTTTACAAACATTGTCCCCTGAGGCTGTACACGTTTACAGACGTCTTTGTCCTTTACGATTTCCATAACTTTGCATTTGCTGGTGTTTATTATTTGTGTTGTGCAAAAAATTAATGTGTTTATGCTAGAGTTTTCTATTATTATGCTATTAATGTTGATAAATTCATAATTTTGTATTTTATGAAGTATTTGGTTTAACTTGAATATATGATTAAAAACTGTTAACTAAGATAAAATGAGAAAAATAATAAGGAGAAGAAGAAAAAAAGACGAAAAGAAGAAAAATAAGACAAAAAAGAAGAAAATAAGACAAAAAAGAAGAAAATAAGACAAAAAGAAAAAAAGAAAAAGAAGGCGAAGAAGAAGTTGAAGATAAACGAAAGAAGAAAGTAATATAGAAAAAAGACAACACCGTATGAGAAATTCAACAGCGTTATCATAAAAAAAAATGAAGGAAAAAGAAGGGAGAAGAAATAAATGAGGAACAAGAATAAGAGAATATGTAGAATAGAGAAATAAAACTTAAACATTATAAAAAAGAAAAACAAAAAAAAAACAAATCTATCAAAAATGCATCAAGAATAACTAGAATAAAACAAGAATTTAATTCAGGAGAATGTAAGCAACACAACAACGTAAATAGTTACAGCAACACAGTGCGTAAATTATATTTTCAGTTTCTAACAACTTCTCGTAGCAACTATGTTAGGTTATTCTTCCGTCTACTGACGTATAATCTACATCAGTTATGATGTGCTACACTTGTTACTAAATTCAATGGAATTGTGACTGGGAAACTTTAGAGTACTAATATCCTAAGTCTCTTTTATTAGTTTTAAAGGTTTAAACATGTTGTTAGACAAAGTTGAAACAGTGTTGTTAGACAAAGTTGAAACAGTGTTGTTAGACAAAGTTGAAACAGTGTTGTTAGACAAAGTGGAAGCAGTGATAGACAAAGTTGAAACAGTGTTGTTAGACAAAGTTGAAACAGTGTTGTTAGACAAAGTTGAAACAGTGTTGTTAGACAAAGTGGAAGCAGTGTTGTTAGACAAAGTTGAAACTGTTGTTAGAAAAAGTTGAAACAGTGTTTTTAGACAAAGTTGAAACAGTGTTGTTAGACAAAGTGGAAGCAGTGTTGTTAGACAAAGTTGAAACAGTGTTGTTAGACAAAGTGGAAGCAGTGTTGTTAGACAAAGTTGAAACAGTGCTGTTAGACAAAGTTGAAACAGTGTTGATAGACAAAGTTGAAACAGTGTTGTTAGACAAAGTTGAAACAGTGTTGTTAAAGTTGAAACAGTGTTGTTAGACAAAGTTGAAACAGTGTTAGACAAAGTTGAAGCAGTGTTGTTAGACAAAGTTGAAGCAGTGTTGTTAGACAAAGTTGAAACAGTGTTGTTAGACAAAGTTGAAACAGTGTTGTTAGACAAAGTTGAAAAAAATGTTGTTAGACAAAGTTGAAACAGTGTTGTTAGACAAAGTTGAAACAGTGTTGTTAGACAAAATTGAAACAGTGTTGTTAGACAAAGTTGAAGCAGTGTTGTTAGACAAAGTTGAAACAGTGTGTTAGACAAAGTTGAAGCAGTGTTGTTAGACAAAGTTGAAACAGTGTTGTTAGACAAAGTTGAACAGTGTGTTAGACAAAGTTGAAAAAGTGTTGTTAGACAAAGTTGAAACAGTGTTGTTAGACAAGTTGAAAAAGTGTTGTTAGACAAAGTTGAAACAGTGTTGTTAGTACAAAGTTGAAAAAAATGTTGTTAGACAAGTTGAAAGCAGTGTTGTTAGACAAAGTTGAAACAGTGTTGTTAGTCAAAGTTGAAACAGTGTTGTTAGACAAAGTTGAAACAGTGTTGTTAGACAAAGCTGAAACAGTGTTGTTAGACAAAGTTGAAACAGTGTTGTTAGACAAAGTTGAAACAGTGTTGTTAGACAAAGTTGAAACAGTGTTGTTAGACAAAGTTGAAGCAGTGTTGTTAGACAAAGTTGAAACAGTGTTGTTAGACAAAGTGAAACAGTGTGTTAGACAAAGTGAACAAGTGTGTTAGACAAAGTGAAACAGTATTGTTAGACAAAGTTGAAGAGTGTTTGTTAGACAAAGTTGCAGCAGTGTTGTTAGACAAAGTTGAAACAGTATTGTTAGACAAAGTTGAAACAGTGTTGTTAGACAAAGTTGAAACAGTGTTGTTAGACAAAGTCGAAAAAGTGCTGTTAGACAAAGTCGAAACAGTGTTGTTAGACAAAGTTGAAACAGTGTTGTTAGACAAAGTTGAAACAGTGTTGTTAGACAAAGTTGAAACAGTGTTGTTAGACAAAGTTGAAAAAGTGCTGTTAGACAAAGTTGAAACAGTGTTGTTAGACAAAGTTGAAGGAAGTGTTGTTAGACAAAGTTGAAAACAGTTGTTGTTAGACAAAGGTTACGAAAACAGTGTTGTTTAGACAAAGTTGAAGCAGTGTTGTTAGACAAAGCTGAAGCACTGTTAGACAAAGTTGAAACAGTGTTGTTAGACAAAGTTGAAACAGTGTTGCTAGACAAAGTTGAAGGAGCGTTGTTAGTCAAAGTTGAAACATTGTTAGACAAAGTTGAAGCACTGTTGTTAGACAAAGTTTAAGCAGTGTTGTTAGACAAAGTTAAAGGAGCGTTGTTAGTCAAAGTTGAA